ACTGTTGATAGTTGAGAAACAAGCAGTGTCAGTTTCAGTGATGAAGCAACATCACTTTTAATAGAGAAACTGCCTCAAATATGACTTTTAGCGAGTCACGGTACGGCATTTATGATATGTGTATCCATTCTCTTGCAACTTAAGTTCGTTTCAAGGCGTCAATAGCAGTAATCTGACCATGGTTGCTGTAAATAAAAGTGAGTTGTGCGATCTACCAATCACTTCGCATATGATTTCGGCGAAATTATTGTAAACCTGATTTATATTTATTGAATGGAATTTTGAATATAATTGATAAAATATATTGCAAACATTAGTCCAGATAAACAATGAACAATTTTGTTTATAACCAGATATTATAATAATAGGATTAAATTGTGTACTTCAGTTCGGATTTGTTGACTGGTATTTCCGGTGTTACGTGATCGTGGTGATCAGCTGATAATGTTTTCTGAGATGGGGGAAAACATCGTGTGATTGAAAAACTTGAGTTTATGTCAGTAAACTTTGGGAGACATGGTTTACCGTGCGCTATAGCCGAGTTAGCGCTTTATTGAAGAGCGCAATAGCGAAGGAACACTTTATCAGCACAAGTCTAAGGCAGGTGAAGAAAATATTTAAAGCCAAGTGTTTATGTTGATGTTTTTCTAGGTAAACTTTATAGCCACCTGTTGCATGATTGATGTTTCACAGGTGATTGTGTTCTTATTGTTCCACTTGGGGAGATGAAAATGGCTGCATGTGCTGCAACATGAGTTAATTACTGTCACGCAGACACACAGCTGTAGCTACCCAGGGCTTCTTAAATGTTGTCAGATATTTACCTCTTCCTTATACAATTGTGTGGACCTGCATAAAGTTGTGATAAACATATGGTATGATATGATCCACCTTACATTGTCTTACCTCCATGGCAGAATGTTGAGATCCGATTGGTTCACGTGATCTTGAAAAATACGACATATTCCGAACTAGGAGGGAAATTCATTTCTGAGTGCGAAAATAAATCTCCATATACACAGAGATACCAACCCTAATTGAAGCTTTGGAGTCATCAGTGGGGTAAAAAAGCGTTATTTCATGTGAAAAAGAGAAATGTCAAGAGCATCCCATGATGCTGTTTTTTTGCTTCGACATTTTCGTTAGGCCGACACATACGTGAAGCATGGATACACATGCATTGACGCTAGTAATGCAGCTGCACACGCAACCTGCACATTTTTAAAAACAGGGCAATAAAGATCAAAATAACCAGAAACAAATGACTCCACTTGCATTTGTATGGTAAAATATGACTAAACCTCATAACTGAATATCAATCCCAACATCGAAAAAAATGGACATCAACATCAAAGTACTCGAAAATAGAAGCTCCATAACGGCATGCGACAACCTCATCAGTGACATACATCGGGGCCACATTTCAAACAAACACATATCTGGAATAACTTTGGTAATTATAGATTACAAATCACTTACGAAAGCAAGTTAATAAAAGCTGCTGTGGAGGCCAAGCCCCCAAACCCCTGATATTTTAGTGAGGTGACAAAAAATGGTGTCGAAAACATTGCATTCATGACGAAACATGTGGTCAAAGCTCCACACATTCATAAATTCATCATGTGACAACATTAACTGTATTGCCAAAATGCAATGTGGTGTTTCAAGTTCCTAAGAAATATCGGTGTACAAGCAATTTAATTAGCTCCCTGTAGAATGCTTCACGTGATCGGTGCATTAACAATTTGGTAGGCATCTCTGCTAAAACCCTGCCAGGAGGAAACCGGCTGCACATGGATTTCTGAGCAGGAGATAACATCTCTTGCACTGAGCTTCCAAGCAAAATGCTGAACTTTGTTTTACAATGTCAGATTGAAACATCATGTTGTCAAGATACACTTGTTGTAGCAGTATCACAAGGGGTATATTTGGTTTTATGCATCGCTCGTATTACCTGACATTACAGAAAAAATAATAAACTTGTTGTTAAAGGTTTTAAAAAGCACCCCTCTGTTAATTTCAAAGCACCTGGGTGCTTATTATCGCAAATGAGATAACTTAATCTGAACTTTGATTGCACGAGTGTTTTCTTATCTGGTTACTGACCACAAAGTTAACTTTCACTTCAATACACATAAACATTTTTCAGAATTCTTGCACCACCATTAACACATGTTTCAGTGTGATATCTCAGACACAAATATGACACAAGGATCATTACACAGCTACCCTTTTCACAAGCTCAATGTCCATTCAAAATCTTTAAACTCCCGAAACATGTTTTCCAGCTAAAATTCATGTATGAAAGTCTTCTGATTTGATTCAACACATCGATGGCTTGCTTGGCAAGATCATTATTTTAAATGTGTTTTTATGTGGCATTCACATCCAGAACAAGTATTTTGATTGGTAGTTGATTTCAACCCCATGAGCATATTAAAACCAATACCTTGTCAGTTAGCTACTGCATGAAGACACAATTCCTTAGCAACGAGGTAAAAGGTCAATCTCTCAAGCACATACAAGCACATACAAGCACATACACAACTTGACACTCATACAATAATCAATTTCACCATTCAAAACATTCAGTGCTGTGTCATGCAGTCCCTAGCGTATATATAGCTGTCAGTACAACACAAGTGTCTAAATATAGCACCGTAGATTGAGGTGGGGCATGTGTCTACAGATTTACTCCCTGTCCGCTCATGCTCTTGTCTGTCATGCAGTTGTGCATGTTGAGCACTTTCATTTTCCCTCTCTTAGTGACCCTTCCTCTTCACCCCCCTCCAAATCCTACCACCAAGTTCTCCACTCACACTCCCTTCTCACTCACCCTCACCTCTCCAACTCCCTACCACCACACCCTCCCTTGCAAACTCCCTTCACAATCTCCCTTCTCAATCTCCCCACCAACATACACAACTTTCAACCACCCTCACCCACTCTGCCTCTCCCTCACCCCACTCTGCCATACCCTCACTCTCCTCAACCTACTCTGCCTCACCCTCACTCGCCTCACCCCACTCTCACCCCACTCTGCCTTACCCTCACTCTCTTCACCCTCTTCTGCCTCACCCTCACCCCACTCTGCCTTACCCTCACTCTCTTCACCCTCTTCTGCCTCACCCTCACCCCACTCTGCCTTACCCTCACTCTCTTCACCCTCTTCTGCCTCACCCTCACCCCACTCTGCCTTACCCTCACTCTCTTCACCCCACTCTGCCTCACCCTCCTCTACCTCACCCTCATCCCGCTCTGCCTCACCCTCCTCTCCCTTACCCCCACCCCACTCTGCCTCACCCTCCTCACCCGACTCTGCCTCACCCTCATCCCGCTCTGCCTCACCCTCCTCTCCCTTACCCCCACCCCACTCTGCCTCACCCTCCTCTTCCTCACCCGACTCTGCCTCACCCTCCTCGGCCCACTCTGCCTCACCCTCACCCCACTCTGCCTCACCCTCACTTTCCTCACTCTTACTCTCCTCACCCCACTGACTGCCTCACCCTCACCCTCATTCCCTTTCCACTCTACCCCAACTCACCCTTTCCTTTCATCACAGTGTTTGACATGAAATTTGCATCTACCCTACAGATCACCAGATGGCAGTGGAGGAACCTATCTGTTCAAATACATAACATTTCAATTGAATACCAGTAAGTATAACTTGAGGTGAGTTGAAATGGGTTTTAACGTCGCGTCCACGATTATTGCACTTATATAGCGACGTGCATGCATGTGAGTGTGTGGCTGCTTGTACTAGTTCGGACTGATGCCGATTTATAGTGCTAGCCCACTGAGATACCATGCCGCAGTTTAACATGAATACCCCACTCAGACACAGTATACTGATTCCGAGCCGACCAGTTCTTGTTTTAGCCCCTTAATGCCGAGTGCCAGACAGGGTAACAACAAGTACCATCTTTTAACTTCTTTAGGTATGACGTGGCCAGGGATCGAACCCTGACCACTACCACTAGACCAGTGAGGCGGTCCTCTCAAACAGTATACATACAGACTAAACCACTCAAAACTTGATATAAGTATGTAGGCTTGGGCAGAATCAGGGGAGGTAACCCAGCATAGAGAAATTGGCAATAGTCATGAAGTCCTTGCCAAACTGCCCAATAGTTAAGGTATCATAAGGACTATTTGCCCTATCTAAGGGTTTTGCTGTTTGTTTTTATCATAAGGACTAGTGGACTAAACATGTTAGTTTCGACCGCTGTAACCTCTGTGTTTTTACTCAGAGATGCATATCGTGTCCAGGATTCTGTATTAAACTGAACCTGATTGCACTGACATAGACACCATCAGAGCTCCAGATAAGCTGCATATCTGCGTGAAATACGCATACAAAATGCAGAAATACGAAGTAAAATAAAATCAAAGCGTATCAAATACGCAACGAACATTACAGATACGCTACAAAAATAAAACTTGTGCGTATCATCAAAATAGTGTTAAGTAACCCTGCGTATTCGATTAGTAAATCAGAAACTTATTTTGAAATTATAAACGGGCATTCCGTCAACCTTGCCAAACTCCACGATGACAGTTACATCATGATCATTTGCCATCACACTTTCTTGTGGAAGTATCGTGGTATTTTTGAGTCCTATAAAGCTCTCGAACCCACACGACACCAGTTTGCAGGCACTAGATGAGTAGTGTTTTTAAATATTTAACTTAAATACCCACATGTGTAAAAACTAGTGGGTAACAGAAATTTGAATACCCAGATAGAATTACTGATACCCAATGATTTTAAAATGCATGGGTAAAATACCCACAACACCAAAAGCTTATCTTGAGCTCTGCACCATGAAGTGAGTGTGAGTGAGTTTGGTTTTACGCCGCTTTTAGCAGTATTCCAGCAATATCACGGCGGGGGACACCAGAAATGGGCTTCACACATTGTACCCATGTCGGGAATCGAACCCGGGTCTTCGGCGTGACGAGCGAACTCTGCACCATGAAGTCCTACTACGGCCACTCACTTGACAAACTGGTTGACATGCTGCATGGAGGTCTCGTAGTTCTTGCCCCCGACTTCCTGGCAGTGGAGAGCCACAAAACACGGCTCAAGGCGCTCGATACACTGAAATAACACATTGACAAACATTGTTACAAGGTCAAGATCACACTTGCATTTCTTTCCATGGAAACAAATACAGCAACAGGGCTCGATACACTGAAATAACACATTGACAAACATTGTTACAAGGTCAAGATCACACTTGCATTTCTTTCCATGGAAACAAATACAGCAACAGGGCTCGATACACTGAAATAACACATTGACAAACATTGTTACAAGGTCAAGATCACACTTGCATTTCTTTCCATGGAAACAAATACAGCAACAGGGCTCGATACACTGAAACAACACATTGACAAACATTGTTACAAGGTCAAGATCACACTTGCATTTCTTTCCATGGAAACAAATACAGCAACAGGGCTCGATACACTGAAACAACACATTGACAAACATTGTTACAAGGTCAACATCACACTTGCATTTCTTTCCATGGAAACAAATACAGCAACAGGGCTCGATACACTGAAACAACACATTGACAAACATTGTTACAAGGTCAAGATCACACTTGCATTTCTTTCCATGGAAACAAATACAGCAACAGGGCTCGATACACTGAAACAACACATTGACAAACATTGTTACAAGGTCAACATCACACTTGCATTTCTTTCCATGGAAACAAATACAGCAACAGGGCTCGATACACTGAAACAACACATTGACAAACATTGTTACAAGGTCAAGATCACACTTGCATTTCTTTCCATGGAAACAAATACAGCAACAGGGCTCGATACACTGAAATAACACATTGACAAACATTGTTACAAGGTCAAGATCACACTTGCATTTCTTTCCATGGAAACAAATACAGCAACAGGGCTCGATACACTGAAATAACACATTGACAAACATTGTTACAAGGTCAAGATCACACTTGCATTTCTTTCCATGGAAACAAATACAGCAACAGGGCTCGATACACTGAAACAACACATTGACAAACATTGTTACAAGGTCAAGATCACACTTGCATTTCTTTCCATGGAAACAAATACAGCAACAGGGCTCGATACACTGAAACAACACATTGACAAACATTGTTACAAGGTCAAGATCACACTTGCATTTCTTTCCATGGAAACAAATACAGCAACAGGGCTCGATACACTGAAACAACACATTGACAAACATTGTTACAAGGTCAAGATCACACTTGCATTTCTTTCCATGGAAACAAATACAGCAACAGGGCTCGATACACTGAAACAACACATTGACAAACATTGTTACAAGGTCAAGATCACACTTGCATTTCTTTCCATGGAAACAAATACAGCAACAGGGCTCGATACACTGAAATAACACATTGACAAACATTGTTACAAGGTCAAGATCACACTTGCATTTCTTTCCATGGAAACAAATACAGCAACAGGGCTCGATACACTGAAACAACACATTGACAAACATTGTTACAAGGTCAAGATCACACTTGCATTTCTTTCCATGGAAACAAATACAGCAACAGGGCTCGATACACTGAAACAACACATTGACAAACATTGTTACAAGGTCAACATCACACTTGCATTTCTTTCCATGGAAACAAATACAGCAACAGGGCTCGATACACTGAAACAACACATTGACAAACATTGTTACAAGGTCAAGATCACACTTGCATTTCTTTCCATGGAAACAAATACAGCAACAGGGCTCGATACACTGAAACAACACATTGACAAACATTGTTACAAGGTCAAGATCACACTTGCATTTCTTTCCATGGAAACAAATACAGCAACAGGGCTCGATACACTGAAACAACACATTGACAAACATTGTTACAAGGTCAAGATCAAACTTGCATTTCTTTCCATGGAAACAAATACAGCAACAGGGCTCGATACACTGAAACAACACATTGACAAACATTGTTACAAGGTCAAGATCACACTTGCATTTCTTTCCATGGAAACAAATACAGCAACAGGGCTCGATACACTGAAACAACACATTGACAAACATTGTTACAAGGTCAACATCACACTTGCATTTCTTTCCATGGAAACAAATACAGCAACAGGGCTCGATACACTGAAACAACACATTGACAAACATTGTTACAAGGTCAAGATCACACTTGCATTTCTTTCCATGGAAACAAATACAGCAACAGGGCTCGATACACTGAAACAACACATTGACAAACATTGTTACAAGGTCAACATCACACTTGCATTTCTTTCCATGGAAACAAATACAGCAACAGGGCTCGATACACTGAAACAACACATTGGCAAACATTGTTACAAGGTCAACATCACACTTGCATTTCTTTCCATGGAAACAAATACAGCAACAGGGCTCGATACACTGAAACAACACATTGACAAACATTGTTACAAGGTCAAGATCACACTTGCATTTCTTTCCATGGAAACAAATACAGCAACAGGGCTCGATACACTGAAATAACACATTGACAAACATTGTTACAAGGTCAACATCACACTTGCATTTCTTTCCATGGAAACAAATACAGCAACAGGGCTCGATACACTGAAATAACACATTGACAAACATTGTTACAAGGTCAAGATCACACTTGCATTTCTTTCCATGGAAACAAATACAGCAACAGGGCTCGATACACTGAAATAACACATTGACAAACATTGTTACAAGGTCAAGATCACACTTGCATTTCTTTCCATGGAAACAAATACAGCAACAGGGCTCGATACACTGAAATAACACATTGACAAACATTGTTACAAGGTCAAGATCACACTTGCATTTCTTTCCATGGAAACAAATACAGCAACAGGGCTCGATACACTGAAATAACACATTGACAAACATTGTTACAAGGTCAAGATCACACTTGCATTTCTTTCCATGGAAACAAATACAGCAACAGGGCTCGATACACTGAAATAACACATTGACAAACATTGTTACAAGGTCAAGATCACACTTGCATTTCTTTCCATGGAAACAAATACAGCAACAGGATTTATTCGATGCTGTGAAAATATATCAGGGCACTGTTCAACAATCAATGTCAGCTCAATGACTACTGAGTCCTTGATGAAGTATGGTAGCGTAAAGATTGATCGGTGACATGGGGAGTTGCTGTTAAACATAACAACACTCCCAGCACTGGTATCAAGAAACAAAAGGTATATCTGATTATACAATAGATCATACAAGAACTCATCTCTACAAAGAACCTGATGATGCCACCCCTGAAAGAGAAATATGTGCAAGCTTCAGGAGTGAGGGTGTTGGAAATAATGTTTCTTGGACAATATTTTTATTTTATCACAGCATGCCTGCTTACTTTGGGAAGAAAGATAAGTGACACTAGCCAATCCTGGTCTATCAAAGGGATGCAACTCATACAGAAAGAGATAACCCCTAGATGTGTAATGGCCCCTCTACACTCAGAATAGACATTGTAGAGAAGACGATATTGCTGTAGGGTTTATACCTTTTGTTTGTTTGTTTGTTTGTTGTTTAACATAGCAGTCTGCAATATTCCAGCAATATGACAGTAGACAGTATATAATCCAGTCTGGACCAGACAGTCCAGTGATTAACATCATGAGCATCGATCTACGCAATTGGGATACAAAGAAATGCATCAACCAAGTCAGTGAGCGTGACCACCAGATCCCATTAGTTGCCTCTTACGACAAGCATGGTTTGCTGAAGAACTATTCTAAAACGGATCTTCATGGGTCATTGCCATAAGGGGCTTGGAGAGATGTGAAAATGGAAAGTAACATTGTTATTTGGTGGTTGATTAATGAAATATGTCCACTGCAGGATAGATCCCCAGGACTCTATTGATGTCTTGGTTGTATAATCTTCATATCCTGACTGCGTGAGACAATGCTCATAATATCAACCACTGGTTTGTCTGGTCCAGAATGGAATAAATGAATGCATATTGCTTCACTTCACGATGCATCTGCAATCTTACAGCTAATAGTCCCTGGTCAGACTTGATTATTTATGAAGCTATAATATAACTTGAACAATGCTGTCTGCAACAACAGTTTATAACATAATTTGCTGTCAAAACAATATTGTATTTTGAAGACAACATCTTCCAAAAACAAGGGAGGTAACTGACTGTAAAAAAGTCCAGTTTCAACCCTCGCCGAACTAGGCTTGAATTTATGAGTTATATTTTGGCTGGACTAACGAGTCAATGTATAGTCCCATCAAAAGCATGCAATGAAATCGACAACCAGTTTCGTAAACTGCCGTGCAAATTTGCAGGATTTGATAAGCATGAGTACCGACAACTCATATTTTCCGATTCTTTTTATGTTTTTAATCAATGTGCCCACATGATTTGATATATTACAATATAGATCTTGATTATCGATCAGAGCGTCTTTGCTGGACGACGCCACTGTATTTGAAGAAAATGCAAGTAATATGAGAGGTTGAATCTGATTAGTCAATAAAAGGGACATAACTCCTAAAGGCCGCTACAATCAAGCCCAGAATTTCTAGCCTAGTTCAGCAAGGATGGAAATTGGACATTTAACTCCTCGGGAAGATGGAAGACAAAGACAAAAGTATAATATCCGATACTGCACCTTAAACTGTGAGACTGTACAAGATATATGTCAGGTTCACAACCACCCCATTAAGATAATACCAACACTTAGTGGCTTTTCTGCACCATCCATCATTCCCATCAAAATCATCATCACATCATTCAGGGCTCCGTGCATCGTAAGCCCTGCTCCTCCAATACCAAGACTCATATGCTGTGTATTAATGTGTATTGATCCAAATGTTTATTTCATCCCTAGCACATGCAAATGTCAGCTTTACTTGATCCCCTGGCTACAAATAATAATCCATACCTCCGTCACCCGTCTCAACAACCACGCTAGTGGAAGTTGAATATTACCTAACTAAAACTAGTTTTCTGAGGGGAACACGAACGAAGTGCCAGGATTTTACAAAACCAGACATCTGCATTTTTTTCAGAAACTTTCTTTTCCTCTGGATTAAAGTCAGTG